TGGGTTGTGCATGGGGATGTTGCGGAGCAGACGGCTGCTGTGGAGGGGGTTAGTGTTGAGGAGGGGAGGAAGCAGATGGGTGATTTTAGGTATCTTGTTTAGATGACGCAGTGGAGGATCGCGGATATCCTAATGAATGCCTTCCATGGTTCTATTCACCCAGTCCACAGCTAACCATGGTGTCGCGTTGTATTTCGATTGCGACGCTGAGTACCATGAGCCGTGGATCTTCGCATGATACTCCATTGCTAGATGTGTAGTCATCGAGTAATTGATTCACCTCTTCGCAGTACAAATATCATTTAATATGTCGAGATTGCCTCGCGCACGGACGGCGTTCACTATTTTGCCCGTCGCGCAATGACGCAGGTCCAAAACAAAGATCTCAGCACTAGCTCCAACACAAGCTCCATCCCTCATCCCCACGGCCAGCGCGCCCACCCCATCCCAGCCCTGCGCGCACAACCTCAAACTTTCTTTTTTACCCTCTCCGTCACTCCCATCACCACCCTCTCTCTATTCACAACCACAACCTCAACGCGAACAGATGGCACCACCGGCACTCATCGAGCGCACCGCGCCCGATGTCGTCCCAGCACCTAAACGCGCACCCGCGCGCTCGCGTCTGCCCACGGCGCTGCGCGTGCCCATTCTCATCAGCTTGAACATGGGCATCAACATGCTGTTGTGGGAGTTTACGGCGAATTTCTTGCGCCCGGAACTGGGTGCTGTGAGCAAAGTGCCACAGGAGGACGATGTCACGTCGTTTTACTCGCCGGCGGCGCGTGTCGCGATGCGCTGGGTTACTGTGTGGATGACGTGGTATTTCAACTATGACTGTAAGACGCGCCGAAATCACAAACACAATATTGAGAGATGATGGGAATGCATTGCTAACAGCTTGTATAGTCTTCGACGTCTCCGCCCTAACCGTCCTAACCTACGCGCCCTTCACGTACCTCCTAACCACCTACTACGAGATCAGCGCCCTCACCGCAGCCGCCAACATAACCATCGAAGTCCTCTCCTTCGCCATACCCACATACCTGCTCCGCCCCCGCTCCATCGTCCACCGCAACAACGAGCCCCTGCGCAACCGCTTCCTGCTCAACAGCATCCAAGTCCAGGTCTCGTCGTCTATGCTCGCCATCGCCGTGTACATTGTCGTGCTGTGGGCGGGCCAGACAAGCGGTTTCTTGAACACGTTCTTGGTCCAGTACTTTGATATTCCTACGCTGGAGGCGGCGCACAATGAGTCTCCGGTGTCGATTCTGGCGAAGACTATTGTGGTGGGTTGGGCGGCGAAGGCGTTCTTGCTTAATCCGAGCTTTGCGGCGCAGCGCTCGGGAACTCAAACACCGGTTGAAGTCTTCGATCCGAGCACTGCGACCCTTCCTAAGACGATCGAGCACAACTTCTTCAACTACAGCAAGAGGACAAGGACGCTTATTCAGCAGACGGTTATTCTGAATGCGTTCTTGTTCGCGGGTACCGTTCAACGGTGTATGACGCTCATTGGTACCGATGTTGTCGGTGCTGTTGGATACGCGGGTGTCTGGGTCGCGGCGAATACGGTGGTTGCGCTGTGGTATGGTTGGGTTGGAGACACTAGCACGGACTACCAGCCCTTGTAGGGGTGCGAGGGTAGTGAGGGCGTGGTGTCGAGCCGACGTCAGTGTACTAGTATGGAAAGAGTTGGAGATTAGATGTTTGCGGCATTCACATTATATGGATGTCACAGCAGACAGGGTCTGAGAAGGGTTCCGAATATATTGGGTTCATTTGGTTTGTTCAGTGGAGGACACATGGATGTGTCGGCGGCTCTATAGCTCATTTTGATACCAGTTATTTTACAGTTTTTTTGTTTCTCGAATCGCCTTGTCTCAATCCGCCTATACTCTTTCGAGTATCTTCAGACGCAACATCAATCATGGGTCCAGTGATCAGCCTCCAAGTGGTGAATCTTACTGTCCAAGCTGTGAACCAAATTCTCCAAATTAGAGACCTGTCCCTCCAAGCCCTTAATGTGGTCATCCTTTGCCTTTACCTGCCGCTTCACCTCCTTGAGAGTCTCGCCACGCTTCTTGTGTTTGACCATCAGCTTGTTGGCAAGCTTACGCGCCGTCTTGTCGGACACGCTACCGAGAACTTGCTCTTGCAGCTCCTCGATCTCGGTATCCTTATCCTCCAGCTGGCGCAGGAATTCCCGATTGACCTCGATACTATCAGCGTCTACACCATCACTCTTCTTGGCCTCGGTAAGTTGCTTCGCCAGCTCGGTGTTAGCGTCGACTTGTACTTGCACTTGCTGCTGTGACATAGCGATAGCATCGTCCACCTCCTTGAATTGAGCGTTCAACTCAACGATAGTCTTGTCCTGCTCCTTGGTCTTAGTTGTCAGTCCTTCCATGAGCTCTTCGTGGCCCTTGTAGTAGTCGCGAAGCTCTTGCAGCTCGTCCTTCAACTCTTGCAGCTCTGCTTTCTTGACCTCGTACGATGCTGAGAGATCGTTCATAGCAGCGTTATGCTCGACGGTCTTGGTGTTGTGTGTAGTCCGAAGCTCCTCGTGCTCACCCTTCAGTGTCTGCAACACTGCATCCTTGGCCTTGAGTTCGACAGTGAGCTCATCTTTGGCGGAACGCTGATGACCAAGTTCGATGGTGATGTCGATGTTGCGGCTTTGGAGGTCCGTATGGTGCCCGCGCAGATCTTCTAGCTCATCCTTCAGCTCCCGCAACTCCGCTCGCTTGGCCTCGTCTTTCTTCTTGTAGGCTTTTTCACTCTGCCTTCGCTCGGTAAGTTCCTTGTACGCCTTCTCAACATCCTTGTCTCGTTCATGTACATCGAGACGCAAGCGAGAGATATCATGATCTCGTTGCTGTACCTGTGACTGCGACTGGGCGAGAAGCCGATCCCCTTCCTCGATCTTGGTGTAAAGTTCATCGATGATCTTCTCTTTGCTTTTGAAGGCGAGGCGAAGCTCAAGATGCTCATTCTTCAGCTTGGCCAGCTCAAGCTTGGTCGAGTGAAGCTCGTCTCGTTGGTCGACGTGGGCCGCGTTCTTGAAAGAGAGGTCGTTATATGCTGCAGAGAGGTCGCTGTTGCGCTCTCGAAGGTCCTTGATGACATCACGAAGATCCTTGACGGTATTACGGGAGTCACGTCTCGCTTCCTTCTGGACAGTAATGGTGTCGCGGAGGTCCTGTGTCGACTGCTCTTGCATGGCAAGGGTGTTGCGAAGTACTTTGTTCGCTTCCTTGTGTGTTCCAATAGTGAACTCGAGGGATCCCATCTCCATCTTGTGAAGTGGGACGGCTAAATACATGGTCAGTGGGAGCGGCTTGAAGGGACGGCTTACATACGCATCGTCTGGCCATCTAACATGCTACGACGAGCTTCTGACTGTCCAATGGAGCGTGGTTCGGTCCATCCAGACATAGTTGGGGCGTCGGAACACGGAAGACGGGGAGGCAGGTGAGCAAGTAGTGACTCAACGGTGGTGTGCGGTCGCCGGTCCGGAAGATGTTCCTGCGGATCGGAGACGTATGGCAGAGACATGGATAGAAAGCGGCTCTACTGAGGGGAGAGCAGGGTCTGATCGATTTGAAGCCGCAGGACTGGAGGGCTCGCGCGTCAGAATGTGAGTGTGTGAGACCGGCGTAGGAGGAGAAACAAACGCAGGTAAAGGCGGATATTAACTCCCACAGTGCGCCAAGCGAGGGGCTGACTAACGCTCGTTCTCCTTCACTTACGATTTCAGCATCCCAGAACAGCTCATCTTTTGCGTTTGCAATGCGCGGTTGAGGATGGAGTGAGGCGTAGACGTCGACATCAAGGTGAAAGATCGCCACTGGCGATGCCGTGCATGGGGATGACAACGGCTAACGGCAAGCCTCAAAGAAGCCTTGAAACGAACCGAACACCTCAGAGCTTACCAATGATTTTGGTCAAATGTTCCCGCCGCATCTTCGCCGCTTTCGTCTTGCGAAAGACTGTGATGACACCGCCGATGGGACACCGACGTTGCCTGTTGCCTGTAGATGTTTTTCGACATGGTAACTGAAAGACGCCAGGACTCGAAGCATTGGAAGAAGAGACGGGTGACTTTAGACACCAGTATATCGGAATGACGTCGGTAAAGGAGGAAAGTGAGTGCCAAAACGGCAAGTGCGAACAGCGACATTCAGAGACAGTCCAGCTCGTGTGGACCTCAACCTCCAATACCTGCTGGAGGAATACATCATCTTTACAGCTTACCAAATACTAAGATAAGTCGTACTGTAGGCCTCAATAGAAGTACACATAACGTCGTGACAGGTCCCACTCACCTCTCAAAGTGGCTCGGTAACCGCTGCATCGTCTGGCATTCGCTGTCGCATTCTTGCTAGATCATTCATCGTGAAACTAGTACCTTGATGCATTGATCTCGCTGCGAATGTCGAATATGATGTTTTCTGGATGTTGGTGCAGCTCTCTGGACACGCATGCTCAAGCAATTGAAGTTCTAGCGTACCTGCCCCACGCGGCATCGTCACTGCCACAACCCAATTATCAAAGCTCCACCCAAGCTTCCATCCCATGATCTACCATCTCCACATATCATCCAGGCATCCAGCCTTGCCCACAATTCTGCCTCACGACCAAGCCCTGAGCCGCAAAAGTATGGCATAATCTCACAATCCATCTTGAAAACATCGTCATAACTGATTAGGCGCACAGCTTTGCACCCCACACTGACATGTTCACTGCCACACACGCCGGGCCGTACAAGCTCCACCAAGCTTTGCCCCTCGGCACATGATGTTCCGACCAAAACGCGCTCACATAAATAAACGCGACGGCCCGTCAATAGGAGAAGATAGCTAAGACGGACAATTACCCCTCCAAAGCTATAGCTCTACGAATTTCCCCGCTACAACACCACCACCACCCAAACCACCAAATACTCCAACCACCTTCCCGTCACACCAACAAGCAGACGTCCTAACTCAACTTCCACAATGCCAATGTGGCAAGCTATCACTGACCCCGTTCTCGCTCTATCGGGCGGTCTCGCAAACGAAGAACAAACTCGCCGCAAAGTAGCCCGTGAAATGGCGATCAAGAACGGAGAAGACCCAGACGCGCTCGACAAGAAAAACCAAGGTCCCCGCAGAATAGGCCAATGGCTTTGGCTAAAACCGGAATGTGTGCAAGAATACAAGAAATGCCATGCGGAAGTCTGGCCGGAGGTGCTGGAGCAGATTAAGGACTCGAATATCAAGGACTGTACGTTGCTCATTACTCATCTGAGCTACCTATCAATCAGATCGAGCAATATTTACTAACGTGTTCTATCAGACTCGATATACATGAACCTCTTCCCCCGCCCCATGCTCTTCGCATCCTTCAAATACGTCGGCGAGAATTTCGACGAAGACATGGCGCGCATGGCGGAGAACAAGGTCGTGCAGAAATGGTGGAAGATGACGGATAAGATGCAAGAGAGCCCTGTGAAGGGTGCGAAAGGTAGCGCGACGGGGCCGGGGTGGTGGGGACAGACGGAGGAGGTGTTCTATGTCGAGTAGATGGGTACAGAGAAGGCAAGGGAGGGATAGAGTAAGGAACAGAGGCATGAATCGTGCAACAATGGAAATAACTTGGTCTCAAGACTAGTTACCTGGGTAACCTTGCTCTCTTTCTAGAGTCACGTGTTCTCTATGTCCGAACCCTTCACTATCGTTCTGGAAAAGGCATTCTCCAGGCAACAAACCACTCGTAGTCAGCCAAGATCGCTTGCTTACCCTCCTTTTTCTCAACCGCTTCTTGCTCAACCCTTTCTCACTCTACCGTCTCTCACTCACCCCGCAGCTGGAATGTCTGGACCAATCTATAAACGTCGTGGAAATGTAGTCATCTCTGATGGTTTCCCAGTCTCTACAAGGCAGTCCATTCCACCACCTAGTAATTGCGCGCCCTTTCCTTACCATCTACACTACCCTTGCTGACTATGCAACTAGGTGTGGTACTTAAAAAACATCACAAATCCATGGATCCCGCGCCGAACGTGTCTAGTAACCCGTTTCACAAACCGCGCCCTATCGAGTCGGAGTCCGCCGACAAGCTCGAGGCGCAGAAGGCCGACTACGAAGCCAAGCTCGCCGACATGAGCAAAGTGTCCCAGGCCAACTTAGAGAACACTATCAAGGACTACGAGGCCAAGCTCAGCGAAAAGGAGAAACTCCAAGAGATCGAGATCGAACGCGTGAGGGACTTCATCATGGGTGATACTGGCGAGATAAAGAAGAAATCCGAGACCAAGCTCCACGACCTCGCCGAGAACTACGAGGCCAAGATTGCTCACCTGGAGAACGAATCGAAGTCCAAGCTCGAGAACACGATCAAGCACTACGAGATCTTGGTCAGGCAAGAGGAAAACCACGGCGATTGGCTGCTCCAACAAATGAGGAAGGGCCATGAGACCGAAATCGCCGAGATCAAGAAGAAACACGCACTGGAGTTTGAAGCCGCGCAGAAGGACTACGAGTTCAACCTCAGCAAACTCAATCATGATCACGCGATTCCGGAACGTGCCTTCGAAGAGAAGACCTGGAGTCTTGCGGCGCTCCAAAAGACAGGGACCAAGGAAGCCAACTTCCTCAGCAAGTCCGCCGAGCCAAACGCTGAAGCGAAAGACGCAGGCCTGCTCGCTGTCAAGAAGGCGGACACCAACGACAAGAAGCCCGAGATCGACGCGCTTAAAGGTACCATCGACGCCCTCAAAGACACCGTCGGTATACAGATGGTGGCTGCAGAAGATCTCCGCGAGACCGTCAAAGACCTTCGAGAGCGCAACGCAAAGCTCGAAGCAGAGCTTCAGAAGAAGTAGGGCGCGAGCCGCGACAGGTCGACGCTGGCACTCTCATGATAACTGGGTAACTCTGGAAATACTCGATGAAGTCACAAGATGTTCGTAGAAAATGAAAATGCTGTAACTAGCCACGAGCTCAGTCGACAGTGACTCTTGGTCTTACACATTAGCAACTAACATATACGGGCCATCTCTTCTCCCTCTACCGCATCATCTTACTGTAACAGAAGCATCTCTCGAAATGCGCTGAGATCTCAAAAATGAAGGTGAAAGGGAATAAGTTAGCTCCCCGCTTGATTCGCTGCGCACTGTCAGATCCCAGCTTTCCCTGCGTCCGTTTCTCCCTCCACCGACTCTGGGTCACTGGTTCTTCCGCACAGCAAAAGCCGCTTGAACTTCCAGCCAAGTCGAGCGACCGCATCAGGCCTACTGTACCACCATCTCGGTTGCGCATCTTCGAGATCTCAGAGGTTTCCACTATCACAGTGACCCCCGACACATCCCACTACTTCACTCACGCCAACCGCCTACAATGAACACGATGAACATCACACCTTTACTCAACACGCGTACTCCCGCATTCAACGCTATCGCGGCTCGGGTACAAGGCGCGGATGCGGACGATGTGGACATTCTGGAGCGGGATGAAGAGACAGACGCAGAGGCAAGCGACGATGACGAGGCCATCGACGAATCCGATGAAGGCAGTGTTGAAGACATGAGCAACGACCGCGGCTCATCAACACCGAGCGTCAAGACCGTGGTAGTGCCCCAAGACTCGGACGACACAGCGTTCACACATGACATATTGGACCCGGAAGATTTGCCTGACCTTGGTAAGTCACTCAACTAGTGCTCCAGCCTTTCGCACGCAGCACGCATGATTACTGACAGATTTGACTTAGGTGACGATCTCGATACCGCCAAATGGACAAAGCTCGCACTCTGGCAAGAAGGCGGATACGAGGGCATGCTGAAAGTACTATTGAAGGAGGAGATCGCGGCTCATTGTCACGACTCTGCTACCGCATCAAACACCGAAGAGCAGTTCATCCTCGGTCCGGCGCGCATGATGGTCGCTTCTATGGATAAGGACGTCCTCAAGGCCATGATACGCGGTAATCTGGCTCTCCAAGAGAAGAGCGACAGTGTCATCAAGGCGCAGTTGGATGAGATATACGTTGAGGCCAAAGACAAACCCTCCATCTACTACCAGCTCTTCGTTGACGATAACGGCCAGTCGCCCACGCCAAACGAACTCGGCATCATTCTAGATACTATGGAAGAATACGTCAACGCTACAAACCACACCCTCGCTAACAAGATCGATAACGTCAAGAAACCGCACATCGATCTGCTCAAAAGCCAGAGTGGGTATAACAAGTACACATATACCAGCTCAGGAACAGAGAAAGACAACACATACCGCGAGTTCCAGTCCGCCGCCAAAGTCAAAGAGATCACCCGCCTGATCGAGAAAATACGAGCACGACTGAGCGGCTTGCCACCTCAGCACCACAACAAGCCATTGAAGCATCCACCAGTTCACGTCGGATATTCAACCCGCTCCCAGGCCCGCCTGAAGAAACACGCCAACCACTCGTGCTCTCACCCCGCCATGAACCTCGCCGAAGCAATCGCTGCCGTACTCTTCGCAAACAACACTCTTCCCAAACTATACAAGATGACTCAGTACATCATCTACATCTGCCACACCGCATCCCACGCATCTCTTTCCGAGATCCTACTGACCAGGCTGGCCGAAGGCTACATGGGCAACGGAGGAGGTTTCAGCCGCTATCCCGCAGCCCGAAGCGCCGCCTCTGCGCTCAAGACGTTGGAACAGGAATGGGACAAGTGTGCTCGACATGCGATTGAGCGGTCGCCGCTGAGGAAGAACCTAAAAAGCGACTGCGAGCGATTGAGGAAGAATCTTGCGGATGCGGTGGAAAAGAAGTCGAGTCTGCTTATGGAGTCCGCCAACCATGCGTTGCTCGCAAGAGCGAAGGAAATGAATGAGAGGAGGAAAGCTGGGCGGGAGGAAGCGGGTCCGGAGATACACTAAAAGGCTGCCGACATCATTGCAGAGTTTCGTAAACGGCATCCGATCCCGGAGGACGAGGCAAGTGTATGAGCATTCGAGATTGTATGGGTGGTGGAACTGAGAGCGTGGAAACAAAAGCGATGATTTGAGCCTTCGCTCATTAACACAGTGACGGAACGACAGTTGTGCAGTGTAGATGAATAAAAGATCCTGAATCAATTGATGGTGCTATAGTTTCGGACAGTGTCGGAAGTGACACGTTAACGTAATAAAATAGGACACCCTAGAGTCTACGTCGACGTTAGATAACCCGCTTTGCAGGTTTTTGTCTTAACATAGTCTGCAAACATGTTTAGTATTATTTGTATATAAAGTAATAAGATGCCTACGTAGACGTTAGAGTACCTACTTTGCAGGTTATTATCCTAATGTAGTCTGCAAACCTATTTAGTATTGTTTATATATAAAGTAGTAAGATGCCTACGTTAACGTTAGATTACCCACTTTGCATGTTCTTGTCTTGATGTAGTCTGCAGACCTGTTTAGGTTTTTGCTTGTATCAAGTGGTGAGATGAATGTCAGGAGAAAGAACTTGATATATCATCATGAGTAAAGCGAGTGAAGTAAATGAAGAGGAGATATTCTTGCATTGGTATTGAGTACATCTAGTCGTCTCGTCGTCCATGTTCCTTCCTTATCCCACCTATTTCCATCCATTCCACTCCTCCTATTTACCCTACCCCTACCATACCATACAGTCCATGTACATCCGACATATATTTTGTTCCCTTGAGCCTTCCGCCCTAGTCTATCTAGATATACAGGGAAAGAGCTTTGATGTGCGTCGGTATGCGTAAAGTACATGCCCATCCATCTCCCCATGGCGAGATCAACCACCAGCCAGCCAACCCAAAAACTCCAAAGAATGCAAGCCGAAGCCATACCAAAAAGCCAGATTCCCGTGAATCAAAAGAGAAAGCGCATCAGATTCGTAAAAGCTGCTGCTAAGATGTTCTGCAGGTATGATACAGATCGTTATCGCGCAAACAACAGCACTTTTTGTGGTATGTATACTTTTGGCGTAGCTTCGTAACAATATGAGACAACGTCAAAAACATGACATAGCAAGTTTAACGCTTCCTGGGGTTCGTCGGCTTCTTCTTCGACGGTGTCTTCTGCGCATCTCCCTCAATGTACTTGAGGAGGTCCTCAATCTTGCGCTGGTCAACGCGACCATTTCCAATGCGCTGGCTACCGGCGGCGGCAGCGGCATCACTAGCGGAAGGAGTGGCGGCAGCGGGTCGCAGGGGGTTGCGGCCGGGGAGCTGCATGCGACGGATACGCGTCTTGGCGAGGTCGTTGAGCTGCTTGGCTTGAGAGACAGCGCTGTGAGTGAGCTGTTCGAGCCAGCTCTCGGCTTCCTTGGTGTTGCGGTCCTCCGCACCGAGCACCTCCTTGAAGATGTTGTAAGACTCGCGCATGCGGTTGACACCACCGCGCATGTCCTTGTCGAGAGCGAGAGCCTGGGCGGTCTGGAACAGCAGAGTCGCTGTGTTGATGGAGTTCTTGCCGCAGACCTCCTCGCAAACGGCGAGCGAAGCCTCGAACCAGAGTCGCGACTCGTGGTACATCTTCGCAGCCTGCAGCATGACAGCGGCGTTGTTGAGAGTTGTGATAGAGTCGGGGTGGTCGGGGCCGTAGAGGATCTTCCACAGCTCGAGCGCGTGACGGACGTAGATCAGAGCGGCTGTGGTGTTACCCGAGCCATGCTCGAACAAACCGACGTTGAGGTAGGCAAGCACGGTCTCGGAGTGGTCGACACCAAGAGTTCGCTCCGACACGATGATCGCCTTGTGTGCAAGCTCAAGAGCTGAAACCTTGTCGTCAAGACTGTAGAGCAGGTTCGACAGGGTGTGGTAAGCCTTAGCTACCTCAGGGTGCAGTACACCGTAGATCTGCTCGTGTAGCTGGAGAGACTCCAGGAGCAGTTCTTGGCCAAGCTCCTTCTGGTCCTGGGCAATGGACATGCGACCAGCCTCTAGTGCCTCTTCGGCCAACAAGCTCTTTGGCGAAGCTTCCTTAATGACAGGGACAATGTTCAGAATGTCGTCTGCATGGAAGGTCTGGGGAGCAAGGGGGGCAGTGGGGCTGGCCGTGCGGGCTGGTGGGGTGCTAATAGACTTGTTCTTCTTCTTCTTGGAAGATGTGGAGTGGCCGTTGGTCTGCGGCGCGGCGGGCTTCTCAACGGGCTGGCTGGCGGCAAAGGCCTCCTTGGTGAAGGCGTACGACTTGCACTCCAGCTGGAGACCAAGCTTGAGGGAGACCTCACGGAGCATCTGCATCTCCTTGCCAGACTCGATCCACGACTGACCGAGGTCGTAGCGGAATCGTAGGGCAACCTGAGCGACAACCTCCTTCTTGAGGGCCTCAGGTGTGAGCTTCTCGAAGCTAAAGTCATCCTCGGGGTACATCTTCTTGAGGCTGCTGTCACACTCTGCCACAGGCTTAGCGCTAACATCGACTCCGAGCAAGCAGTTGAGGAGGTGGGCGGCTGCGGGTGCTGCGAAAGGCGCGGACACGTTGCGCAGCTTGGAGTTGGCAAAGTGCTTGAAACCACGTGCGATCATCTCCTGGATGATGAGACGCTTCAAGGCCTGAAGCCTTGGGTCAGGCTTGTCAGCCAGCTCAGCAAGCTTTCCAAGGTAGCGCATGTTCACACCTCGCTTGTGCAGAAGGTTGCTCAGAGACTGGCCGTCCATTGGGAAGCCGACTTCGCCCTCCTTGAGCTCCTGGACCATGCGAGGAATTACCTCCGAAGTGAGGTGCTCGCAAGCAGCGCGGACCTCAGCCTCGTCCTGAGCCCACTCCTTCTTGTCCTCATCTGATTGCGGGTTCTGGCCCGAGAAGACATCAGGGTTGAGCGCGAAGGAGAATCCGGAAATGTCGACACGCTCCTGCTCAGGGTCCTCGGCCTCAGGCTTCTTCTCCTCGGTTTCCTTCTTTGCAACCTTGGCAGCCTTCTCCGCGGCCTTCCTCTCCGCCTTGGAGATTTTCTTGGCCTTGGGAATCTTCTCCTTCTCTTCATCAGAGTCCTCCTCTTCCGAAGAAGACTCCTCCTCGGATGACTCCTCTTCCGAAGATTCCTCTTCAGATGAGCTTTCTTCAGCCTTGGCCTCCTTCGCAGGGGCTTCGTCCTTCTTTGTGGTCTTCTTAGCCATCTGCTCCTTGACGTACTCGCGGAGCTTGACCCTGCCGTAAGACTCCACGAGCTCAGGGCGGAGTGTTGTCATGCGGTGGGGGTAGTCCTTGTCTGTTGCCTCCTTCTCACCCTCCTTGCTGGGCTCAGTCCAGTGGGCCTCAATCCAAGCAACGTCGAGAGGTGTGAGGCGGTAGAGGTCCAGAGCGTACCGCCTGCCGTCGGTGCCGATCAGACCCTTAGTCTCAACACTTCCCTCAAGCTCGTGACGGACATTGTCCTTGTCCCATACAGGATGCTTCTTGACGCGCAGCGCCTTGGAGAGCTGCTCGAACAGCGGGACGAACGACTTGTCGTCGGCGACAATCTCCTTGCCCTCAACCGCACCATAATCGATCTGGTGCTCGCCGGGGTCGCGCTGCTTGAAGATTCCGGGTACTATGCTCTGGCCAACAATGCGCTTTCCTTGGTAGTCAACGACGACGGTTCCGGAGGTGAAGAGGTTGTTGATGTCGAGGTTGTTCACAGCGCGGACACCGAAAACGTCCTTGCCCACAGCCACACGCGCAGCCTCATCACCACCCTCAGCGCCGAATGTGCCGACGCCATCAGCGCCGAAGGAGTAGAAGATGTTGTTGTACACGAAGATCTGCGCGTCCTTGGCCTCGGTAGGGTTGAGAGGCGCAATCTCGCCCCGTGCTACCAGCATGGCACCGCGGGTCGCGGCATCGTTGTAGTCGGCAAAGAGCTTCGATGTGAGGCGCTCGCGGAAGACGCGGTCGTGGACAGCCTCCTTGGGCATCTCCCTCGTTGACTGGAACTCCTCATTCCAGTCGCGGAGGGTCTCCGTGTTCTCAACACCCGAGATCAGATAGCTCTCCTGTGTCCGCGCGAGATCCGGCTGGTGTGGGGTGAGGGATGACGTGGGTGCGGGGACCAACCATGGGTTGGCGGGGATGGCGTTGGAGAGCTGGAAGATGGTAAGCAACTCCTTCTTCGCATTGTGCTCCAGCAGTTCCTGGAACGAAGTGCGGAAAGATGGTGACAGGTCCTCAAGGAGGGTGAGGAGCGAGTGTGCCTGCTTGTCCTTTGGTGGCTGGCGCGGGAAGGGGTCGAAACTGGCATTCGACGACTTGTTGACGTAGAAGCCAGAGACGTGAGCTGTGATGTGGTGTTGCTCGTTCTCGTTGGTCGTGACTACCAGGTACAGCAGATGGCCCTTGGAGCGGAGGTGGTATGGCGGGGGATTCCAGGGCGATACGGCGATGGATTTGATCGTCTTGGGCGCGGCTTCCTCGGTGGGCGGCAGCAGGTTTTTGATGTTGCCCGATGCCTTGAAGTCGTAGTCTGCCAACGGCGACTGCTCAGGGCCGTCCTGCTTGGGCTTGGAGATCTGCTCGTGGCCGACAGTGTCGTGCAGTGACAGTCCAGCCATGATGCCGTGCAGCGCATCGGTACGGTCACCGGCAGCGCCGATAAGCTCGCGTACGCGGACCACATGTAACCGCGCCTCCTTCTCTGTGTATGGGTCCTCCACCAGGGTGAGTACCGAATCGGCCTTCAGTCCCTCGACTTCAGAGAGTTCGACGTAATCGTTGATCCGCTTGCCGTCGTGCTCCAGGTGGAAGCACGAGTACTGGAACGTGTGGGGCGTCTCGATGATGCTCTGACGGAGGTCTTGCACCTGCTCGGCCGTTGAGATCTGGAGTCGTGAGTTTGTCGTCCATATTTTCTTTTCTAATTCTCAATACGCACCGTTATCGGCATCTCGAACGGCTCGTGTGGGAGCTTGATGGTGACCTGGAAGATGTCTAGACTCATTAGTAGATATTTCCCACAAATGATAAGTCAATTGACATACTGTCTGGCTGCTGGCCAGCACCATCTTCCTCTGTGCCCTCATTCTGCCCCTCTGTGGTGACGTCTTTGCTGGGCGTCTTCTCGACCTCTGCATTGCCATTGATGTTAGCCATGGGGTGCAAAAAGAGTTATTGCGCCTGGGAATAAATTTCCATCGCAGTCGTGTGCGGGCGGGAAGCTCACCAGACTTGGAAGCGTCATTGGTACTAGCGGCCATGATGGCGGGCTGTGGATATGTCGAGAAACACTACGACGCCGGGAAAGAACGACTGGGGAAAGAGGGAATCGGTCTAGGGAAGGAAGGGAATATACAGGAATGGCGCATTAATGTACAATGACATGCGGCGAGTGATGGGGAGAGAGGTGACTCTCCGGTCATGTCTCCAGAATATTTTTCTTGAGGGCGCCGGGATGGTCCGCTAAGCTCGCTCTCCACTTCCGAGGCCACAGGCATGTCATCGGGAAAACGGCCCCCATGCACCGGGGTCAGCAGTATCGCGTTTATTCCGGAGTACTGGAGTTGCCATGTCCTACACGTCGTGTCTGTCTTCACGCCGATTATCGTTATGGTGATTGACGCGAGTTCCACCATGCTGTCACCACGGTCGCTCCTGCCGTTCGCACTTGGCACTCGCACTTGGCCCCTGCGGCAAATTATCGCAACACCAGCGTAACAAGGCCGCGGTACCTCCTTTGGCGTCCCTCTCCTCCAATCTCGTCCCGTCCATCTCAATCATCTCTCCTTTCACGCGTCTGTCTCTCGTTTAACTCTCATTCATTCCTTTTCTAGTCCATTCCACGTCTGTTGAACCTCTGGCTGCGCCTACGTTTGACACGTGTAACATTGGAAAGCACGCGACACCAACGTGACTTGGAACGCGCCAGCGCAATAATGTTAATGCTACGACATATCACGCGCGCTCATGCCGCGTTGACACGACAACCTTTCGCGTATCGGTCTCAGCAGGCTGGTCCGGTACTGCAAAGAACAAGGTTATGCCAGCCCTCTTTGGCGCGCGCTCTGAGTGGCCAATCCGGTCCTCCGACTCCTGGCAACGACGCGCCAAACCCCATTGACGACGCTGCAGAGCGTCTGGAGGAAGAGGAAGAGCAGCAAGAGGAGAGACGCGAGAAAAAGAAGGCAGAATGGAAAAGCACAGCCTGGAAGATGTTTGAGGCTGCTGCTACTACCGGAGCCAGCATCTTCATCCTTGGATGCGTCGGCATTGGTTATACTAAGTACTACAAATGGAACGTGCTTGAAAAGATGGAGAACGCTTTTCGGGAAGGCGATCCTGTATTAGAGCTTGCAGCTACTGGAAAGGAGATGCCGAAAGCGGGTGAGCCTACTCGACTACAAGTCAGCAAGGACCTGGACGGTGATGATAAAGACTATGATCGCTGGATCCCACGTGATGAGCAGGAGAGGATTGACAAGATTGTCTGGGGCGAGACAAAAGGACGTTACCATCTACTTCTTGGCGAGAAGGGGACTGGGAAGACTTCCATGCTCATCGACGCCATGGATAAGATCAATGGTGAGGGATGCTCGATGATGGAAGCCCACGCAGATCTCGAAGTCTTCCGTGTACGGCTAGGTCGCTGTCTCGATTTTGAGTACCACGAAGACAACATCGGATCGCTTTTCTCCATCCGCGGTCCACGCGATGCGGGCGCCATACTTGACATTGAGCGCGCGTTCAACAAGCTTGAGAAGGTAGCCTTGCGACGACGCGCAACTGTTGGCAGACCGCTCATTCTCATTATTAACTCCGCACATTTGATCCGAGACAATGACGACGGCCGAGACCTGCTCGAACTCATTCAGCAGCGGGCAGAGCAATGGGCAGCTGCCAACCTCGCAACTGTCATCATCAACTCGGACAAGTACTGGGTGTTTGAACGATTGAAGCAGTACGCTACGCGCATGGAAGTGCATCAAATCAAGGACCTCAGCAAAGACCGGGCCATGCAAGCCCTACGGAACTACCGAATGAAGTACTACGGCGAGAAGGTGCAAGACTCCATCCTCGAAGAAGTATACGACAAGGTCGGCGGACGTCTCACCTTCCTCAACCGCGTCGCCAAGTCAGAAGACATGGTCGCAAAATGCAACAGCATCTGCGAAATGGAGAAGATATGGTTCCTGAACAATTGCGCGATTCTTGGCGAGGAGATGGACGACGATGTCATGGACCAGCAGAAATACGCTGTACGTATACAAACATTCGTCTATCAATAAGCTGACTAACCCCCACAGTCCACAGCCATGGTCCTAGCCAACGCCCTCTACAAACTCTACCACGACATGGAATCAACCTACGACCCAAAAGAAGGCCACATCCTGCCCTCATTCCCCCTCCACCGCGCCCGCTTCATCATGACGCGTTCCGACTTCATCCGTCAACACCACGACCTCTCCATCTTCTCCATCGACTCGCACGCCGTTGTCCGTGCCGACTCCGTACCCATGCAACGCGCTTTCAACGAAATCTGCGCCGAGCCTGGGTTCGAAGACTTCCTCGAAGCGACACTCGAGCGTATCGGTGCGATTGAGAGTCTCGGCAGGACGAAGGAACTTACGTTCAAGGATCTTTGGGAGGGGGGCAAGTATCGTATTGTGCAGAAGGATGGAAAGGGCAAGGTGCAAGGTGAGGTGGAGATGGAGACTGTGCCCGGGAAGGGGGATGATGATGACGATGATGAGAAGGATGATTGAATGGGAAGGTTGGATGGGCTACGAGATATTTGGACGCCGGGATGATTGGATTGTTATGCGTTTGGATGTACGATATGGGAGTAGGCGGCTGCTTGATTCTGCGTGGCCCTGGTGTCTTGTGGGAAGCCGCGATACCCTAGAATGTCAGTTTTCCTATGTATGTGCCCACTCTCCTTACTGTGCTCACTGAGCAGATTGCCGGCTATTTGCTGCTCCACTTATTGTGTTCGTCACTGACCCCTTCCGTCTTTGTCGCAGTGAGTACGTCCATAGTCTGTTCTTGGGCCCACATCTCTCCCTCTACTTTCACTACAGCGAAGATATCATGAGCCTGTTTGCTCCGGTTGTTGCCTCTGCCGGACCTCAACACTTTCAAGACTAGTTCTCTTTTGGTCACTCTCACTTGCCGCGTATCGCTTACATTTCATTTACTCTCGTAGAACCTTTTTGTTCTCTGTCCCTACCTGCTTTTCCCCTACCGGCCAATTATGAAGCTTTCGCTGTCGCTATTAGCTGTCGTCGCCCCTATCGCTCTTGCCCAGGATCTCGCCAGCAGCAACGCTACCGATGTACGGATAGCTGCAGAATTCGATCCGGAGGACATCGCGGACGCCGCTGAGTGGACCGCAGCCTACGAGAAGGGTACTAGACTGGTCTGTCGACTTGAAGCTAACGACGAGGCCGCGGGAAGACTGTGGCAGGACACTCGAGATCCACCATCTGCGCGCAGCCAGTGGGCTGATGTCACACTCCAGGAAGAGCTGGGTCTTTGGGGTTGGCGCACTGGCAAATATGAACAGGTACTTCATTGCGACTTTTCCGACGACAAGGAGCCTCAGCATGTGAACCATTTCGGTAAGTCAATGCCTTTACGCTGACCACCACGATCTCTACTCGAGAGGTATATAGGTCAAAGATTGGTCTTTGATAGGTGTTGACTGTTCAAAGGAACGATGTTCGCGAGTCTCGGCGTTAACGACCAGCCACGCGAAAAGGGCGGTGATAACCAGTGTTACAACATCGAACACTACGACGCAGACGTAGAAGATGACTTGATGGCCGAAGACGATGAAATGCAGCAGTACTACTTCGTTGATGACGAGGAATATCGTTGCACTGGTGCGCATGTTCGATTCGGTATCAACCAACGAGGCGGAAGTGAGTCTCTACGATTGATTTCAGTTTACGACTCGCACATCAATACTCCCATCCCTCTTCCAGGCCGAATCTGTCCCAGGACATGCTAACTAGTCAAAGTGATTATTGGCCAGAGCCTCTCAAGTCCTAGATTCGAGGCGGCGGCAAACTGGGGATTCGAACCGAGAGAGACCGAGCTGCCGCAGCTGCAGCGCGTTTCCGACATCATGATGGCATACTGGATGCGCGACAATCCCGACCCAAAGAATCTCAAGTACTACCTTGTGTGCAATATCTTGAATGAGCAGACTGTCAGACTCATCAACGCTGTCCTGAAGAACAAGGGTCTCGATAAGATACCATTCTGGCCTGGCGTTGTAGCCGGCATGTGGGAGGAGGAAGGCCCAGCACTACTTGGTAAGTAGTCCTATCTATCTCCAGAACGCCCCAACAGAAAACAGCAACGAACAGTAGTCCGGATGCGGTTGCATACGCCATGCGAAGGACTCTGAGTTACCACAACGCTGACGAACTTCAGGATCTCCACTGGGTGGCTCGCTCGCCTTTTTGCTCGCCCAACACAAGGCAGAGCTAGGTATCAAGCATGTCACCGAGATCGTGATCTTCCGAGATAACTGGGAAGGTTCGACTCCGTATGTGCAGTTGCTGTTCAGGATCAAGGACGTCCCGGACCCAGCTCCAGATCCAGCCCCAGACGCAGAGTCAGGCCAAGCTCTTAGACTACGAAGTTCCCTCTTGGGCGATGGCTTGAAGAACAAGATATACACGCACAAGATCTTCCAGGATACTAGAGCTCTTGTTGTTGGCGCATAGACGAAGCAGGGTGGGAGGAGGCTTTGTAGACGTGATCTTTGTCTAGATAGCCGTTGAGGCTTGTAGCGCATAGTTAGATCTGGTTTTCATCCGTTGGTAAGTACCGATCTGCCACAGAAGACAGAATAGACTTGCTACACTAGAAGAATCAATACCGAAATAACATCACAGCGGATATGCATCGACGGAACAGACTCTGCTCGAGCAGCCCTATTGTGATGTACGTGACATCCAAACAGCGGACATATGTACCGCCCTCACATCCTTCAATATCGTGTGACATCAAGCCCCTTGCGTGCGCAGGTGCAGAAAGCGCAACAAATGACGTGAACGCCCCACCCGTGCACTAAGCATTCTCGCTAAGCAACGACCCACCGAGCATCCCGCTCGATGACGTCGCACCCACCCTCCTCCCAACCACAATTCCCAATCACCTTTCAACTTTCCCATCGTGATCTTTTCGCCGACCCCAGCCGAGACGCTGATTAATACTGCTTCCGCACTGTCATTCGTGGGTCTGGGGCTGCGCGTGGAAGTGATAAGCTTCTGCGAAGCAACGATGGCGTAGGATCGACGCTAGCACCGCGACGGTTGGCGGGTGCTTGTTTCCCTTGTGGACTGGGCGGGTCTGGAGACGGGTTTAACAGTTTAGGATTTCGATTGCGTCGGTGATGGCTGACGGAGAGGGTGGAGGCGCGACGTAGGTGGTGTGGAGTGGTCAGGAAAGAGGACCCTTAAGTATGCAACTGCCCGTGGGACCTCGGGGAGGCTTGATACTCGCGCGGTGCTTACCTTACAGACAAGATTCCTGGCTATCGCGACCAATACTTCGGAGGTGTATTCTATCCGGCCTTCCCGCGCTTCACTTGCCATCCTTCTCTCCAGCCAACTTATCACGCGCACTTCGTTAGACAACCCCATCTCCCATCTCATTACTAGCATCCATATCCTGTCACGATGGCGGTAATTTGGGGTCTCGACATGAAGGAGATGCAATGGGGCAAGTTCAAGTCCGGCTACATGTGGAACAACACGTATCACAACCGTCGCACAAAGTTCATCATCTACCAACTCGCCATGATTCTCTGCGTTGTTAGTGAGAGTCTGGGAACCGCTGCGCTGTCTGGTACGATATCTCTCCCTATCTCTACTCATGGTGGCGACGACAGCCGTCTGCCATCTTCCAACTTGAACATCATCTAACATCCAGCAGACTACGTCGACCAGCAAAAGTTCGTCTCAAAGCTCGACCGCAACGTCATGATCCACAACAACAACTTCGTCGGCATCGCATCGTACAACATCTTCGTCGGTATCTTCGTCGCCACCATTTTCGGTGCCGCCTTTTTCTTCGATCTCTTCTGGCCTGAGCGACAAGAGTCGAGAGGCGTCATCAACGCTTGGAAAGCTTGCTCAGTCTTTGCTTGCATGCTTACGCTCTCCGACGCCCTTGCATACACTTACATCACCGCGAGCAAGAGTGCGCACCTAACCGGCACGGACTTCGAGCGCGGACAGGGCCTGTTGTCGCAGTTCAAGAAGGCCGGCGAGACTCCGCTCGCTTACAACAAGAATGGGCGGGCGATTGCTAGTGTTGTATTCTTGTGGCCGGGCATGATCTTCACTTTTGTCAGGTAAGTCACCTCTATCGGTCCTATCACCTCAACCTAGGGAAAACCTGGACAGGTCTGGAGCCTACATCGACGTTAGGCCACCTAATTTGCAGGTTTTCGTCTTGATGTAGCCTCTAGGGTGTTCAATTTTTCCCTTGTATGAGGTGCTATCGTACCACTCTTACTGACTCATTTGTCTAGCACATATTTCCTCTGGCATTCGCTGAACCACATCGACAAGCTCGGAGTCTTCTCCGCACATGCCCGCAATCTTGATGGCGCTTCGCCCGAGCCCGAACCGAAAGGCAACGCCGTATAGAATTGGCTTCGTAAAACCATCACAGCCGACTCCCGTCCTGACCTCTCTCGTCCCAACCCCTCTCAGACTCCTCACCAGAATCACGAATTGCAGAACATAAGCAAGTCGCCCTCTGTCGTCACCGCGTACAGAGACGGAACTCCAGTCCGATCGGCTCCTCCCACATACAATTCCCATGCCGGTCCTTCCTCCCGTGGCGGTCCTTCCAGTCGTCCCGGTCCCTGGACTCCTCGTCGGGATTCAGAGCTGAACAAGCTAAAGAAGAAGCACAAAACAGACATCACCGTTGTCAAAGATGGACCTGCAGACCCACCTGCTCTCGGAAGGTGGGGCAGTCACGATGCTGTGCATGGTCCTGTTGAGGAGACCCTTGTTGAAGAGACGCCTATCGAGACGCTCATAGAGCGGAATAGGGCCGAAGTGCAGAGGATGCTACAGGAGGGAGATCCGGATAAGGATGAGATGATTAGGCAGCGCAGCGAGGAGTTACTGAACAAGAACAAGGATTTCATTAGCGAAAGGCCGTTGAGTCCTGAGGAGTCTAGATGAGAGTTTGGTGAAGGTATTTCGGTATTTGATGGCGTTTAGGCATGAGTGGGATATTGAGTATTGATACCCTGGTAGCTTGTTTACTTGGATGAGAATGAATAATAGTAATTCTTCGATCGTTGCGTTAGCTATGTTGATGATGCACCTCATAAAATGGAAAAAACTGAACACCCTGGAGCCTACGTTGACCTTGGGCCACCTACTTTGTATGTTTTTACTATAATGTAGGCTCTACGGTGTTTAGTTTTTTTCCTAGGCTGACGTGGATGCACTGTTGTCAAATGTCGATCCTGGATGTACATGCTGTGACGTTGTCTTCTTCATGAAAGATTGGAGTCGATGCCTAGAGGTGGGCATGTCATACAACAAGGTGACAATGCTACTCACGTATAGCAATCTATCAAATGCAGAGAGTATTTACCTATGTCCTTACTCGAATACCTACTGTCGCGCGTGCGTCGTGAGCCTGCCCGTTCAAATACTCGCTGCATCCTATGCAAGAGAAAAACTAAACACCTAGGAGCCTACGTCGCTGTTAGGCTACTAACTTCGCAAGCTTTTATGTTAATGTAGGCTCTAGGGTGTTTAGTTTTTCCTTCAAATAGGGTAGCTGTATAACTTATCTATGAGCAGCACGTTGTCAAAAACACTAAACTTAAGACTTTCTCTACAGTAGCTACCTCATACCCAGCATCCCATACATCTGATTTCCAACACCGCCTTTCCCACTGCCGCATACCCTCCCACCTCCCTCAGCCCCCATCACGCCACCATCCACATCCCCGGTGCCAGCCTCATTCCAACCCAACGCCACCAAGACGTTTCTTTTGCCGGAACGACGGAACAGTGCACACCCATAGGGATGTTATGAAACCCACTCTCGCTTCCCCGTGCCCACCATCGTCACACCACTTTCTTCACGGAAGCAAAAAGCAAGAAAAAAAAAGCAGACCCTGTGAGAGTTCAAGCCACAGCAAGCCATGGTGACGCGACGGCTTGCAGGACTTACCAGCGATAAGAATGATACGGAAAAAGAAGAAGTGAGATCTCGGGAGGACGGGAGGGAGCGAGAGATAGTGGCGTAAAAGCCACGATGACGTGGATTCGAGTATATGTAGAACGGAAGTAGGAATACCAAGGTTATGCGTGGAAAAGAAAAAAGATGGGTTTGTTGCATGGCTTTGGGGAATCCCATGACGCAGTTTCTTTGTGAGTAATGATATGCTGAGATTGGAGGATGGGGGGGGGGAAAGAGAAAGAGTCGTGTGCATTGCGAAAGTTGCAAGAGTCAGCAGCAGAGTCATGAAAAGAAAAAGAAAACAAGACTGTGAGAGCATGAGAATGCGAGTATTTTGACAAGAGTCAAGGAGGTTGCGAAAGCGTATGCGAATACGGGAGATATGCGTAGAGCAAGAAAGAGACCTCGGGGGGAAGTATTGGAGTTCTTGGTAAGACGACTCCATGAATCAACGCGATGTAGGGAAAGTGTGATCTCGACAACCAGCCTCGATTCTTGATAATGTGGTTTGTGATACTCGCAGCGGTCCTGCCAGGCATCGGTAGGCAAACATCGCTTCATCTGTAATACCTAGAGAACAAGACATATCGTCATCTTCATCGGCATCATCATTGCAGCAAAGGAAGAAACTGTCCTAGGTCTCCGTCCGGCTTGCCGCCACAACTCACCTCAACCTCATCCCAAGGAAAGGTTCTGTCCACGAAGAGCAACTATATCGATCACCAAGCTTCAACGCCTACGACACCGGCTTGTTCATACATAGACACAAACTCACCTACCCAAAAACAGTCTCTTGCGGCTCCGCTCCCCTTCAGCCCTCGAGCCAGCGGATCCGACGCCCTCCCCGTCAGCCTCCTCAAGTCTGAAACCCAACGTCGCGTCAACCTACCCTCTTCCTCGGCAGCCCTGACACAGACCCCATCTGCATGTCATACCCAAGACGGAGTCTGACATAAGCCCCACTGCATCACATTTCCCACGTGGGTTCCGAACCCGTGTTCCTTGTAAACATGCGACAGCGACAGCCCCGAGCGATCGCATTTCAATGCAGACAAGGTGCCAGGTTTGCTTATTCCCAAACCGTACCCTTACTGCGATGCTGAACCAGGAGGAGCTTGAAGGCTTTGCATGAGCGGGTGGTCATGTGAGACGCAGGTGATGAGACGAGGGGGAGAATTGGAGATGTTGGAGATGGGATGGGTGCTGTTGTATTGTACCGAGGAGGCGAGATCGGACGGTGTTAATGCCGGTGATGTGCCGATTGTGGGACCGAGGTACCAAGGGTACTTGTAATCAAATCAATCTCAATCGGTAGAACTCTACCACCCTACCACCACACCTACCAGTCCCATATCTTCTCGCCTGTCGCCCAAGATTTGATAGCTGTACTGAATTTGCCATCTTAAACCCAACGTTCCAAATATCTCCTCGGTGGCGATTTGAAACTCGATGAACAGGTTCCTTGTGTGATTGCCTTGGTCATAAGTCATATGACAAACGGAAGACGGGGGAGGGCACGGAGAAAAGCGCTCAAGCTCGGTGTAATGACATGTCGCAGCCCTACGCATAACCCCCGAAGAACCCACCTTGCACCCTTCCAGGTACGCTTTCTAGAAACACGTTCGCGCATCAAACGAACCAAGCCCTGTTCAGCGCGCGCGCGTCAAACAGATTGGGAGCTGTCAGTTGCGTGCATTCCAGTCCAGCAACCCGCACCGCAGCAGCAACAACGCGACTAACATTCCAACCCAAACCAAAGTCCTCGCGACCGAAACATGCAGTTCGTGATTCCTGTGTTACATAGCGAAAGCTTGCATATACACAACTGCGACAAATCATACGTACCACATCATCCCACTGCCTGCCTAATCGATAAAGCCCATGACAAACTTCCTCCCCGTCGCGTCGTCGTTTCAAATAATCCCACCTATAAACTTCGAGTGGTGCCGGTCTGTCAAAGAATTGAGATCATCACTCGCAACCCGTGCCAACGATGTTTCAGCACCCAACGGCGTCTTTACTAGGTATAGCGTACCACGTCCTGCCCGCCCATCCTAGGTACTTTCCTATCTGGGAAGCTAGCGTGGGAAAGCGTCGGGCTGGAAGGGAAGCTGACGCTAGTACAACACGAGACTTCGCGTGGAAGCTATGCCGCGGTCGATAGGGCAGTGTTGGCGTTGCGCTGGGCTTGCCGCTTTAATCAAAGTTACGCGGGCTAGCGTGAAAGCGGTTCCCGTGTCCGCGAAATGAGGATGCGTCTGCGAAGGGAGGGATAAGTAGGGCTGAAGAAGGGTTTGGGGAATGATGCAAGGCCGGTAGGAAGGCTGGTTGTCTGTGCGCGCGGTGAGTTGTGCATGGACATGGATTGCGGCGTCATTGGGAACGAAGGGAAAATTGCGAGAGATCGCGATGGCTTGCGTGGTCAATATTGCGCGCTGGAGGATATGCTTGTTGTGAAATTTTTGGGTTCAGAAGTATCTAGGCAGGAAGACGGGAGAGAAAGCCGTGGGCTAGAGGACGTGTCTTGATTTGTTCGGGTTCTGCTTTTGCCGTTGGGCCTAATTGTGTGCGCGTCCATATCGATTGAACGCTATCGAGGTGATGAGCTAGCGATTAGCCAGCCAGGAGTTTATTTGGAAATGACGCTTCGCCGTGGTTGCAATTGCGAGCACGACTTCAAACTGTCCGGCGATCACTCATAACCCTAGAAATGGAACCTGGGCCTGCTATCTCCACAAGCTGAGGTGTGTTAGTGACGAAACAAAAAATAGACGTGGTGTGGGAGAGCGTGGGATGTGACCCGGTGGGCGGGAAGTTTCAAATAACGAGGAAGGTGCGTGGGGTCGTACCTTCTCATGCCAGCTGAGCAATACGCTCATGGCTTGGCCGCCACCTTCGCCGCCGCCACGAGTATGAATCTGCGAGAAGCCGGTCGGTTGGGGGGTGATGTCGCGCTTGGTGCCTGATGGTGCTCCCTGTGCCATGCCTTTGTAACTGCAAGTACTTTCATTAGTCTATGGTTCTGGATGTGCAACGGTGGCGCGTGGTGGATGCGGGAAGGCACGATGGCCAGTAGAGGTCGGTGGGCGGTGAGGCTTGGAAGAGACCCAAACGAGACGGTGGACGTACATGTACTTCATCAGGACGTCCAATGCTTCGGTTCCACCCGGCGCACCATATATCCGGCTGAGCATTGGTGACATGTCTGACTGGCGTATGGATTGTAGGATCTCGATGACGACCGAAAGGTGGACTTCCTGTGGTGGTGGACTTGTCAGCTTGGTCCTGGGTGGTGCAATGTCGCCGACCTGGTCGTCGGTAGCCCAAGTCCAGAGACGCGGTGGTGATGTGACCAGGTGTCTATATCTGGAGAGACATCCAAACCGCTGGACTGGGAGCGTCGTGTCTCTGAGGTGTCTCTGGAGCTTCTAGAGCTGTTTGAGCTGTGCAGAGGCGCAACGTACCTTTCCCTTGTCGTCTGCGCCATATGGGGGGTTCTCTAGGGCACTCTGGAGGGCGCCCTCATTGTCACCACCCCGTAGCAGCTGCCGTATTGACTGGGCGTTGGTCTGGACATCGGCCGTCGAGACAGGCGCAACGGCGGGAGCGAGGGAGCTTAGGTCGAAGTTGGCGGGGCTGTCGGGGTCCAAGGCGTCGATGTTGATGGTCCGCCAGTTGATGTTGGCCATGGTGGGTGGTGAGGCTTGTGTACGGAAGAGTAGCTAGCTGCAAAGAGACGGCTGGGTTGGTGGTGGAGCTGTGGTGAGGTTGCAATTCGGCGCGCCGTATTCGTGGGGTGCAGTGCCATGTCTCCACTCTGCCCGCCAAGCTTTGAAGCTACCCAGTCCAGCGCCCGCAACGTCTGGCAAAACACCCACCAGGTAGCACGAACCAGGGTCGCCGCTCGATTCCGCTGCATGCGGATCGCTAAGGCCTATCGATGTACCCGCGACGGAGATCCGCAGCGCCACACGTGTGACGG